GTCTGCTGACACCCCTCTCACATGAGGACCTTGGCCCTCTCGCATGGGAGAAGCATTTCTTGCATTCCACAGAATTAACCTCCTACAGTTGGAAACAGAAAGCTATGGACTGAATTGACCCTCCAAAATTCATAGCTCGGTGTGATGGTATTTGGAAGATGGGGCCTTTGGAAGGTCAGTAGGTTTAGATGAGGTTGTGAAAATGAGGATCTCATGATGAGATCAGTGTCCTCATAAGAAGAAACACCAGAGAGCTCTCTCTCTCTCTCTCTCTCCCCGTGTGCCCACAAGGAAGAGGCCATGTGAGCACCCGGTGAGATGGTGGCTGCCTACAACCCAAACCAAGAGGCCTCAGAATGAAACCTACCCTGTTGGCACCTTGATCTTGCACTTCCAGGCTCCAGAACTATGAGGAATAAATGTCTGCTGTTTAAGCCACCCGTTCTATGTAATTTTGTTATAGCAGCTCCAGCAGACTAATGCATGGAGTGATCTTCTTTCAACGGAAGGCAAGGATGCCTATAGAAGTCACCTAGTTTACCAGGACACAGTGACTGTGTTAACGTACACAGTGTTCCAAGTATTACGAGTGGTTGAGCAATGAGATGTGGAGCAATGTGGAAGCTCTTTACCTCTCATCACATGTGGAGGGGGCGTGGACTCCAGCACCTGGGCTCCTTCTGCACGCATTGGCACCAGTGGCGCTGGTGAAGGGTTGGCCCAGGATGGGATGGAACCTGGAGCAACTTTGCTGCCATAATATAGGGCACCTGTGTAGAAAAACCTGCATCCATTAGTTTCCAGGTTTACTTCTGCATGAAAATTGCTTACAGTGTTAAGAACCTGTTTTATGCAGCCTTCAGGGATACTCAGCTAAGGTTTTCTCACCCTAATTTTTTTCCAGAGTTCTCTCTCTGGCTCCCTCTGCATCCTGCTGGTGGGGGTGGGGGTGGAGGTGGGGCTGCTGCGCTATGGTTCTCTCAGGAGTCCGGAACCTGAGCAAGGGGCACAGTGTGAGAATCCATTCTGCAGAGCTGGGGAAGGGCCTGTGCCTTCAGCATTGGTCGGGAGATGATGTTCAGAAGTCCTAGATTACCGTGGGCATCTTCTGGGGTCTGTCACTCACCAAACAACAAGCTGAGCAATTTAGTTTCCCAAAGAGGTTCCCCTACTGTGAGAGAAATGTTGCATCACAAAAAAATGTTTATTTTGCTTTCTGATATTTGGTCAATCTCTCTTTGAGAAACATATGCCAGCTTCCCAAGGTCAGTTTCTCCCTAGATCAATTTAGCTTTGAGACTCCAGGCTATTGTGACTGGGAACTCAGAGGTCAGAATTTCTTGAACCCTGGACCAGTGCGGTAAACTTGGCATTGCACTTGAACGAAATTGAAAAATGCTGAAAATGATCCCTCCAGTGTATGCAGATGAATCCCAAGAGTGTGTATTGAAAGGTCCAGTCCCTATGAAAGAGAGGAAGGGGAGTCTAATAAACAGAGGTCTTTTGCCCTTGGTCATATCTAGAGACTTTCTACAGGATACAGAGAACATGGACAGTTTTTAAGGTAATTTCTAGATTTTCAGCTTCCACGTATACTCTTTCCTAAGAAAACCCCTCTCTCCTAGTTTACAAATAGAAGGCATGCCTCCCCTCACCAGCATCCCCCAGAAACCTAAAACCAAAATCTCTTTGCAAGTCACATGGTTTCCAATTCTTTGCTTTCAACAAAATTGGAGAGGGGCTTGAGTTGTCTGCTGATAGATTATTAAACATTTTTGAATGTTAGATTCAACTAGATCTAATTATCTGTGCCAGCAAGTTATCAGGTAAAGGTTTATCGGGACTTATGCCTATAACAATTTTTTAAAAAGTAGATTTGATGCTGAATCCTGTCTGTTTCAGTCTATCCTTAAGTAATATTTACCCATGGATTCATGAAAAAACACTCAGCCACATTTTCCTCATTAAGAGATTATTTCCACTCAAATTTTACTTCTTATGTATATGAAAATGTATGATATATTTATATTATTTTAATCAATTGTCTACTAATGGTAATTTTTTTTTTTTGACCGGTAAGGGGATTGCAACCCTCAGCTTGGTGTTGTCCACACCACGCTCAGCCAGTGAGCGCACCGGCCATCCCTATATAAGATCCAAACCCACGGCCTCGGTGCTACCAGTGCTGCACTCTCCTGAGTGAGCCACGGGGCCGGCCCTACTAATGGTAATTTTAATAAAACTCAATCCAGAAGAAAATTTTGAACACTCAGAACCTTACGGTCACAATGTTTAAATTTGAAATTTAAACAAACATAAGCAAAAAAATTTTTAACAAAATAAGCAAACATATTTTTCTTGTAGGGAAATAGGTGATCAATAAAAGACTTACATGCATAAAAATGTATTACATTAGGATATGGTTCTTTTACGAAAGTGGAATGGAAATACAAGTTCAACTAGAAAATAAGAACAATATAAAATTTACAATAATTAAAACAGAATTTGTTGATGTATTTTTTTTTCTATATGGATGATGGTGAGTATCAAATTAGGTATTCTATTTCATTGGATACATTTATTTAAAACAATGATTTAACAATTTTATCTTAAAAGGTCAATATTTACAGTATGCCAGAAATATATTAGTTGTAACTATTTAAGCAAGATGAAAAATTTTAAATGTGAGCAAAACTGTCTAGAGATCACAGCAATAAACCATCCTCAAAGCAAGTTGACAGGAGGAGCTGGGCAGGAGGGACATAGGGCTGGGGGCAGGACATGGGTTGCAAGGGCAGGGCAGATGCACTATGACTTTGATGCAGGACAGGACAGGAGCCCTGTGATACTTCTCCACCAGGTGGAAACACTGACCTGAACAGCAGGATTGGTCAGGTGGTGGGGAGTCGGCCAGCATGCGCTCATCCCCCGCATTGTTCTCAATCACCATCGCAGTGAGTGGGGTCACGATGTGATGATCTAGAGACATCTGCAGGATTGATCTTGTGATTTTCTTTTTGGCAGCAGCGGTAGGAGCTAGGCTTCTGTATTCAGGAAATAGAGATGTTATAGGACATCACTGTATATAAGGGTGAACTCCAGTCCTGCAAGCCCCCTCCCCTGCCTGGTGTCCAACCAGGACCTGGGGTGGCGGGGGGCAGGCAGACAAGGTAAGAAGGAAACAGAACTAACTGGCTACATGAAGCTTAGCATTTTATCTAGCTATGCAGTGCCAAGGGATTTTTTTTTAAAGATACTATTTTTTATAACAGTTTTAGGTTCATAGTGAAATTGACCAGAAGGTACCAAGATTTCCCAAATACCCCCTACCCCCATGCATGCACAGCCTCCCCCACTATCAACACCCCCTGCCAGAGTGGTGCATTTGATACAACCAATGAACCTTCACTGACACATTGATATCACCCAAACTCCACAGTTTGCATTAGGGCTCACTCTGGGTGTCGTACATTCTAGGGGTTTGGACAAATGCAGGATGGCATTTATCCAACATTGTAGTATCATACAGAGTAGTTTCACTGCCCAAAAAATCCTCTGTGCTCCACCTAGTCATCCCCCGCCCCCCAGCTCCAACCCCTGGCAATCGCTGATTTTTTCACAGGGATTTTTTTAAAAAGTCAATATTTAATTTCTGAAGCAATTTGCTCTATGCCTTTAAATACATACAGTGTGCTGTCAAAGGGGCAGGAATATTTCTCACTTAATTCAAAGCCACAGCATAATCTTATTGAAATCAGGGATTTTCTCCGAGAATCCAGTTACACAACTGTATTTCATTTTCCCACCCTAGCTCAGATGACCCTGTTCCATCTTTCTGAGAATCTGATCTAATAGGTGGAGTGGGGCTTGGCAGTGGTCATTTTTATCAACCCCTGTGTAATTCTGATGCAGGCGCTCGAAGAACCACACAACCCTCTAGCGATGCAGTTTCTGTGTTGCAGAGCTGAGACACAGCTCGGCTGAGCAGCCGCAGGAGGGCATAGGTGAGGATTCAGCCACCTGGATGACTCTCACAGATGTCCTATTGAGTGAAGCAAGCCAGGTACAGAAGAATACACACTGCATGATTATATGAAATTTAGTAACAGACAAAACTAATGGATGTCAACAGACGTCAGAACAGCAGTTCTCACCGGGGGTGGGGGTGGTGCTGAGTGGGAAGGAGAACGAGGGAACCCCCAGCGGTTCTACATCTGGATCTGGGTGTTGATTGTACGGGTGATGTATGTAAAAATTCATTAAACTGTGCACTTAAAATTAATGTACTTCACACACTGACCATAGGTTATACCTCAATGAAAAAGAAAAAAGAGTGAACCCAGCTTTAGCTAAAGTGTTCAGAACCAATGGAAGTTGATGATCCAAACCTGTATTAATTTTCTGCCTTTCCGGGTTCCAAACTCTTTTTGTATGTTCCTTCAAATATTCAAGGTAAACATCTCACTTTTGCAAATCCCCATGGTGTATATATACTCTCCTCTTCTTACCGCTCAGCTAGCAGCTGGTTGATTGTTAGATAGGCCCACAATTTCCTGGTGAAATCAGGATCTGCATGCTTGTCTTTTGATAGAAAATCCTCCAAGTCATCCATCTGGGCCAGCGTTTCCAAGACCAACTCGGTGTTAGCCTAGACGACAGAAGGTTCAGTTGAAAGACACAGTGGGTCGGGGGAGCAGAATTATAGTTCATCCATTCCTGTTTTTAGTACCCCCTGTGAGTGAAGCAGAGAACTATGCACTTTAAGGGGAATACAAAAGGAATGGAAGACAGCCTCTGCTGAGCAAGTAAGTGCATTTCTATGGAGGTTGGGATGAGGATTGGGGGAAAAGGTAAGAATTTACAGAATAGTTGGGAAGATGGAAGGGATGTCCTCTCCTTTGCCTATTGCTTTCATTCTATGCACGTAATTCCGGGAATGCAGAGTCTTAGCCTGTTGACATAGAAGGTGGACTGTATCCAGGGGACCAATTAGTGTTTTTAGAATAAGCACATAAACAGAAGTACCGAAGTGGCGGTGATAATGCTCTGGATTTTCTCCAACTTATCAGGGTCAAATTTTCCTGCCACCACAATCTCCGAGCCTCCAAAATAATTATGGAAACTGTTCTGAGTGACATCTGTTACTGACGAATGGGGATAGTTGAACTGAACATTCCGGAGCAATGGTGTAGAGACCTGGTTGTAGAATTTCTACAATTCATAAAAAAAGAAAGAGAGAGAGAGAAATCATTATTTTCACACCACTTTGTAGGTCTAAAGCATTTTTTTTCTGAGATTCTTCAAATGCTTAGAAGGTACCTCTCAATTTATTCCCACAGTATCTCTGGGACAAGGGAAAATGCTCATAATTATCAGATGAAAAAAACTGAGGCAAAGACTTATTAAGAACATGAGCCATCATTTAAGACCCCAGCATTTTTTTTTCTTTCTGTTATGATCAGCATGAAAAACTCATGGACACTCATAATCAGGAAAGTCAGCTGGGTTGATGACATAGGATAGAACCTTATCCTTCACCCATCCCCAAGTCTGAAGATAATGCCCGACACTGACAGAGGGTGGGGGAAGGTATGTTCTTTTCCTACATCTTTTTCTTGCCCATTTAGTCAACATAAACCAATAATTTGTATCTTTTATATTTAACGGAATGTACGGGCCACAGTGTGATCTCTCTTACATTATAAAACATTGATATCCAAGATGCCAATGCACTTTAAAGGGAAAACAGGTGTCCATGATGATAAGGAGACCAACTGCTCAGGGGACTGGAAAGGCCCAAGAGGACTGGATGGTGCCGCCAAAGACTTTTGTTCAGGGTGCAGGGAAGTGTGTACCCATCACCTTACTGACTCACATCTCACTGTAGTGCAGAAATACGAGGGGTGACGGGGGATGTGTGACAAAGGAAGTGAACACTTTTGATCCTTGAGGCTGAATATGGCTGAAATAATGACAATTTTGAGTTAAATTCAGCTGTCTTCTTTTCGGCATCAGAGAAGCGTAGTTGGATGATTTTGAGAGAGAGAGAGAGAGGAAAAAAAAAGAACAGAAGAAAATGTCACCTTGAGCTGGGAAGCTGTGTCCTGGTTTCCATAAATCCTTTGAGCAATTCCACGGTTTTCATTGGATAGTCTTTTCAAAAAATCATAGTCAACGTCAAATCCCATCCCCAAACTGAACAAGGACACATTATCTTGTATGTTCTGCTTCACATTTTTTTGAATATTTGACAATTTTAGCTCACCTGAAGTGGGTGATGACAGAAAGAAAAGGAATGAGGAAGCAGTGTTATAAAGTTTCTGTAAAATCCAGGGAGGGAGGAGCTTAGCAAATTTTGTCAAAATTAAAAATGCACTTACCCTTTGACCCAGTATCTCTACTTGTAAGAATTTTTTTTACACATGCACTCACACATGTTGAGATGAAGTTTGGGCAATGGTACTTTGCAACATTATTTGGGAATAGTGACATATTGGAAACAACTTAAATGTACACCAATAAGGGAGATTGGTTAAATTATGGTATAGACAGTGAAGAACACAGCAAGTCTTTATGTATTTATATCAAATAATCTCAAAGACACACTTTTAAAAAGGAAAAAAACCAAGGTAAATATCTGTGTATGTGAGATGCATTTGTATACATGCATGCATGTATGTATCCATGTATGCGTGTATATGAATATGTACATATATGTGTAAATATGTGTATAGTACACAGGTATGCGTGAGCTATCTCTGGAAAGATACACGAGGAACTGGTAACCATTGACTGACTCCAGGACAGGAACTAATGGTTGATGCACGGGAGTGAGAAACAGACTTAAATTTTTACCATATTTCCTTTATTCCTTTGAGAAAAACTTATTCAAACTTTGAATTTTAAAAGCAATCTGATGGGGGAGACATTGAGTCTACCACAAATACATATCAACTGCTCCTTCTAGTCTCACAACTAGTGAAATGGTTGCTCTTATCTTTCTAAAACTTTGCCATTGTACTAGAGGTTAAATGTGTCCCCCAAAAGTTCATTTATTGGAGACTTGACTCCCATCATTAACAGTGTTAAGAAGGTAAGAAATCCTCTTATGGTATTTGAAAGGTGGGAGGTGATCTGATTTGAGGACTGTGCCCTCATGAATGGATTGAGCGTGGTTCTGATGGCTTTATAAGCAGAGCAAGTGAGAAGGTTATCTCTCTGCTGTTCAGCCCACTCTCTTGCCATGTGATACCCCAATCACCATGGGACTCTGCAGTTCCCACCAAGAAGGCCCTCCCCAGTTGTGTTCCCTGAACTGTAGACTTCTCTGCCTCTCAAACTATAAGAAATAAATTTTATTTCTTTATAAATTACCCAGTTTCAGGTATCTTGTTATAAGCAATAGAAATGAACTAATACACATTGTTATGATCTGCACACACAGTTTCATTCTCCTGAGCTGTGTCAGGCACAGGACAGACGTGGTCCTTGTCTACACACTCATGTAGCACAATCTAGCATTCACTGTTACTTATGTTTGTCAGTATAAAGACCCAAATAAAACTAACAAAAAGAAAAATAGATAATAGAAGTGGGGAGATGCTGAAGCCATTTTGTGGATAAGAAAAATGACTAATTTAAAGGTTTTATCAGAGAGCAGTCATTTCTCCAGTTGCAGCTGGGAAATGTGGAGAACAACAGAAAACATGTGACTGTGGCCTCCAGAAGTACCACTGGGCGATCTGGATAAATACTCATCATTCACAGCTCCCGCACACCATCTGCACACAACTTAAGTTGAGGAAGTAAAAGCATTTCACGAGCATCCATCAGCAGTCCTTACAACATACTGTTAAAACTCAAACTCAAGCTCCGCTCATTGTGGAGATGAAACTGAGGCATTCAGGAGCACTACTGATGTCCCTGAGGTCTGGTTTAAGGGGCTGAGTGCTTCACGGTCAGACAACTTCCTTTGGGATGCACGGGTTTAAAGTATTTTAGAAACTCAGGCAAATGCCACAAGAGTACCCATTTTAAGCAAATCACATTCCTAAGAAACAACAATGAAAATGTGTGTCAGGAGAAAATGGAGGTGGTACTTGCCTACTGTTGGATCTCCATCAGACACCAAGATGATCAGAGAGACTGAGTTGGGGTCCAACAATCCCAAGTTGTTGGCTTCATTCAAAATAAAGATTGCCCGCAGAAGTGCTTCGTTGATATTTGTGCCTGTTAAAGTAATATAATGTGCTGTTACACGTGCTTTCTTTCCACATGCACACAAATCACATCTTGGATTCAGGTTCATCTGTCTGGTGATGACTTATGCATAATCTGTTTAACACCAAAATCATTCAACTGCTTTCCGAGTGACACAGATTTTGTTCAACCTGGTCAAGTTCCCCAGTGCAGTAAAATATTCACTTTGAAGTAAACTATCCCTTTAGAGAAAGAATTATCCCTTTCAAGGCACCAGTCTGTCATTTTGTTAAAGATCAGATTTAAGGTATCTAAATCAGCCTTGCTGATATATTCTGAAGACAGTTACTTTTCTGCCACGCAAGTAATAAAGAAGGGTAATGTCACTTACTGAACCCTTTTCTGAAAAAGGCTGAAGGTTAGAAATGTGTGCGAGCTGGCTTACGTGTTGTACTTTCACCACGAAATTAGTATCATCGTTTACCAATAACCATATTATTTAAGGCAGACCATTGCAGACAGGGCAAAAAACACTAGGGGGCAGGGAGGGGTGGATAATGCTTCTTAAGTCAACCAAGACTTGAACCCTACGGAAGTTTCTCACTGAGTTTTAGGCCAACACACTCACCTCCACTGGGGTGGATTTTCTCAATATACTTCTTTGCATCAGCAGTCTGTGTTTTAGTAGCTGAAACTAAATCATTTTTCCAGGTCCGAACGTTCTGGTTGAAATCAACCACGGAGAACTGGTCTTCCTCTCTGAGGTCATCCAATATGGTCTTCATTGCTTCCACAGTCTATTTCAAAATAGAATAATGAAGGGTCTCTACTTAAACTCTAAGCCTAAGAAGCAACTAGGAAGACCAATCATTGATCTGAGTCGTCTTTCAAGTACCGACTCAAGCTTTGTTCCAGAAAACCTCCTGAACCCACCTCAGACAACACAGAACACACCTCTCACTTATTTTCAACATGTATTATTGGCTTATTGATACTTAAACTTTTACTACCTAACTGTTATGTACAACTAGTTGGACTAGTCTTAGTTTAAGTTAAGGATCACAAACTTCAAGTGCTTGCTTAGTGGTGCCTGAAAATCAAATGTATTTCTCAGGTCTGTTTACTCAACTACTCTGCTAAACTATTATTTCTCATATTTTTCCTCTTCAAACCATCATGTTCCTCTTCCTCTGCCTCACCTGATGACCCTGATTTCCACTCCCCTGAAAAACAAAGCAATCAGAAGACAATTCCACAGACTCTCATCACCATAAAATCCCACCGAGCAATATTCGTACTCATACATTTTTCTCTCCTGCCTGGAAATATAGAACTAGCTGTTCTTCTACCGAATGCAAATCCATCTACTCAGGAACTGGGTTTCATTCCCTCTCATCTACTGAAGGACATGGCTCTAGCAATTGCCTTTTGCCTCTTACAATTCTCTCCTCTATTGGGCTATTTCCATAAACATGAAAACATGCTGTTATGTCTCACCCCTTTAAAAACCTTATTTTCACTCAATTTCTCCATTTCTCAGCTTCCCTTTGCAATAAAATTCCTTGGGAGAATTGTCTAACTACAGTGTCTACAAATCTTCTTTTCCTATTCTGTCTTAAACCCGCTCCATTCAGGTTTTCATCCCCATCACTCCACTGAATCTGCCCCTGGCAAGGTCACCAATGACCTTGATGTTGCTAAACCCAACGGACTATCCTCACATCTCGTGACACTCAACCTATCACCAGCATTGAACCAACCGCCCACATCTCCCTCCCGAGCACAACTTCCTCACTTGTCTTCCAGGGCCTCATACTCTTGGTTTTTCTCCCCCTCTCATTAGTTTTTTTTTTTTTTTTTTTTTTTAGTCTCTATTGCTAGTTTCTCCTCTTCTCCTCAAATTCTTAATATTGAAATTCTCTACTGTTTGATCTTGATTCCCTTCTCCACCTCCTCCTTGGTGACCTCTTCTAGTCTCAATGCTGTACATGCCTTCTGCATGCTGATGACGCCTGGTTGTTTATCTCCATATCTCACTTTTGAACACCAGACCTGTATAGCCAACATCCTCTTTGACACGTCCAACTTGGACGTTTAACAGACATCTCAACCTCAATATGTCCAAAACCAAAGCCCTGCTGCTGTCTTTCCCAGCTCACCGGTGGCAAACTCCATCCTTCCAGTTGCTCAGGCTAAAAGCCGTGCAGTGTCTTTCAGCCCTCTTTTCTCCCCTGCACCTTACAGCAAACCCTTCAGGAAATACTGTTCATTCCACCTTCAAAACACATTCCAGAATACAATCACTTCTGCCCACATCCACAGATGCCATCCGGGTTCACGCCAGTCTCTTCTCAGTGAGGCAGCCCTTCAGTAACGTCAGATCATGTCACTCATTCATCCATCCCCACACTCCTTCCCCACCAACAGCTCTCTATCTGAGTACAAGCCACCATTCTGCTGATGACCTGGCAGGTGTTCCAAGACCTGCCCTGCCCCTTACTTATCAGGTCTCATCTCCCACCCTCTCCCCCACTGGCCTTCTCTCTGTTCCTTGCCTGGCTCACTTCTGACTAGATCCACTGCATTGGCTCTTTCTGCTGCCCCCAGATATCTGCACCACTCTCCCCTCACCTTCTATGGGTTTCCTCAAAGGTTGTTTCAATAAAACCATCTATTTCAATAGCAAACCTATTTAAAATTTCATCTCTCTGCAATTGGCACTCCTGATTCCTAATATACCTCTCTTTAAAAAAAAGCAAAAACAAAAACACTTTTTTCATAACACTACTGTTGAACATACTCTTAAATTTACTTATTATGTGTATTGTTTATTTTCTGTCCCACCTACCCCCAGAATTGAAGTTCCATAAGCTCCTGAGGGTAGGGATGATTTTTTTGTTTTTTGTTTTTAAACTTTTGATCTATTTTGTTGATGAACTAAGTGCTTGACACATAGTAGGTGCTTCATAAATATTTGTTGAATGAGTAAAGGATAGAAAGAAGGAAGCCATAAATGAACCATTATATTAGAGCAGTGGTTCTCAACTGGGGGCAGTTACTCCCCCCAGGGGACATTGGGCAATGTCTGAAGTTGCTTTTGATTGTCACGACTGGGGAGGAGGTTGTGCTACTGAAATCTAGTGGTAGACTAGGGATGCTACTAAACATTCTGTAACGCATAGGACAGCACGACTACCCCCCAACAAAGAACGACCCAGTCCAAAGTATCAGTAGTGCCATAGCTGAAAAACCCTGTACTGGAGTGAAAGCACAGGTGGGCAGGGTCCATACATGACATGGATTCCTTACAGATCCTAGAATAGTAGTGAACACTTGGGTGATCAAAATAGTTGTTGAGTGAATAACAGTAGGTTGGTTGTTCAAAGTGGTTGGATGGATAGACTGATGGATAAATTAAGAAATCTTCTTGTTTATTTTTTAGATTTGTGTTTGTGCCATTTATCATTGAATAAGCCTATACTGAGCTCCAAACTGGAAGATATGGATCAGGATAGCCACCCTCAAGGAAGTGCAACATAATAAGAAATAATATGCATATAACAATTTAAGAGTTACTTGTAAACAATGGCAAGATATTACAGAAAACTGTTATGCATAAGAACCAAAAGAATAGGAGTGATCAGAGCAAGAGGAGGTTATGCAGAGATGAAATGTTTCAAAGATGTGAGTTTTGAGGTGGTTTTTCAAGGAAATACTGAACACAGCATGGAAAAGAGAGGAAGAGAGAAAAGAGGAAGCAGGAAAGAGGCAGATGAGAAGAAAGGGAATTTTACAAGGGATGAATGACTAGAACACACAATAATCTCAACACTGGGAAGAGTCCACACCCTTAGTGAGTAACCATAGTCACTGAGTTTTGGTGCTAAGGGGGAGGAAGGGTTGAACGATTGCCTTGTTGGGAGGAGATCAAAGACGGGCAGGTAGTCCCACCCACCACTGCAAACGAGGGGGACACTCACTTGTTTCATTTTAACTCCCCACATCGAGCCACTAACATCAATAACAAAGAGGATGTTTTTGGGAATTGGGTGCAGGTTTTCAGGAGCAAAGAAGTGTACAAAATATCCATTGAATACCTGAAAAATAGAACATATTTGTGAGTCAAATCAGGACCAATGTTTAGAAGATAGAGAGATGGGGCCCTGGGGACGAAGAGAGGAGAGGTGAGTGATGGTGAGGAGAGGGGAGCCTGACACCCACCCGTCCTTTCCTTCTCCTGCTGCTCCCTTCGTTCCTTTCCTGTGAGGGTCCACGCCTTCTCAGCAGAGTACTCCGCTCCACTCTGCTCTGTTCTACTCCATTCCACTCTGTTCTGCTCCACTCCACTCCACTCTTTTCCACTCGACTCCACTCAGCTACACTATGCTCCACTCCATTTCTCTGTGCTCCAGTCTGCTTCACTCCACTCCATCCACTCCACTTCATTCCACTCCACTCTGCTCTGTTCCACTCCAATCCACTCCACTCCATTCCACTTCTTTCTGGTCCACTCCAACCTCCATTCCACTCCACTCCACTCCATTCCACTCCATTCCATTCTACTCCACTCCACCCCACTCCATTCCACTCCACTCCATTCCACTCCACTCCACTCCATTCCACTCCATTCCACTCCATTCCATTCTACTCCACTCCACCCCACTCCATTCCACTCCACTCCACTCCACTCCACTCCATTCCATTCCACTCCATTCCACTCCACTCCACTCCGTTCATTCCACTCCACTCTACTTCATCCCACTCCACTCTGCTGCACTCCACTCTGCTCTGTTCCACTCCAATCCACTCCACTCCATTCCACTTCTTTCTGGTCCACTCCAACCTCCATTCCACTCCACTCCACTCCATTCCACTCCATTCCATTCTACTCCACTCCACTCCATTCCATTCCACTCCACTCCACTCCACTCCGTTCATTCCACTCCACTCCACACCATTCCACTCCACTCCACTCCACTCCACTCCACACCATTCCACTCCATTCCACTCCATTCCATTCTACTCCACTCCACCCCACTCCATTCCACTCCACTCCACTCCGTTCATTCCATTCCACTCCACTCCACCCCACTCCATTCCACTCCACTCCACTCCACTCCGTTCATTCCACTCCACTCCACACCATTCCACTCCACTCCACTCCACTCCACTCCACTCCACACCATTCCACTCCATTCCACTCCACTCCACTCCGTTCATTCCACTCCACTCTACTTCATTCCACTCCACTCTGCTGCACTCCACTCTGCTCTGTTCCACTCCAATCCACTCCACTCCACTCCATTCCACTCCACTCCACTCCGCTCCATCCACTCCACTTCATTCCACTCCACTCTGCTGCACTCCACTCTGCTCCGTTCCACTCCAATCCACTCCACTCCATTCCACTTCTTTCTGGTCCACTCCAATCTCCATTCCACTCCATTCCATTCCACTCCACTCAGTCTTTACTGAGAGCCTCTGGTCCAGGCATCCTGCTAACCAACAGTGAATCAGGCAGACTCTCTGCTCTCATGGGTCTCACAGCCAGTGGAGGAGACAGACACAAAGCAATTTTCAGCACAGTGTGTTAAGTGCCATGACTAGGAAAGTGAAGGGCTCCAAAAGAGTCCAGAGGAGGCAAATCTAACTCAGATGGAGGAGGCTTCCCCATCTACTCTGGGAAATGAGGATGAGCATGCAGTTAGCCCATGGGTGTAGGAATTGGGCTGGGTTGGGGATCAGAGGTGGGGAGGAGACTTCCGGACAGTGCAGAAGGACCTTCCTGTGCCACTTTAGGAAATTTGGATTTTTCTCAAAGTTAATGGGAGGCCACTCCAGCTGGAATCCTGCCCACCCTTTTCGTCCTCTACTGTAGGCTCCAATGACAGGCTCGTATATTTTTCTTTCCACTGCCCTTTGGTTGCTTCTGTCCAGGACATTACAGTGTCCAGCTGCAGGGTATGTGGCTATGGCCTCCAAGACACTTCTCTGCCCTCTGTCCCTGGAGAGATTCCCAGCCTTTTGATACACTGTAAGGGTTCTTACCTTAGCACAAGGGAAATGGAGATACACATCTAAGACATGACAAAAGGAGAAATGAAACCTCCCAAGAACTCTCACAATAAACCCTGACCCTGGAATTCACCACTGGTTCCAGATCCTTCTCTAGGCTTTGGCTGTGCCTTCCTCCTCACCCCATAATTTCTGTGCATTTTTAAAAAATCATCTAATTGCAAAGGGTGTTGGGAGGTTATACAAAATTCCCATTTGGTAACTTTCTATTGTTCTTCCTATGAGGCATAGAAGTGCCCTTCTGGGACAAGGGCAACCTGGTGACCCTGTACTTAGTTTTCATGACATAAAAGATAATGCTTGGTGGCATATTAGAGAAATGTGATTTTAATCCCTTCTCTGCAGCCTCAACCTTTGGCTCAGCAGCCAGAAACTACCCACAGACCTTGGTGAACAGAGTTTGTTCACCAAGAAACAGTTCTCTGTACGCACCTCGAGTTCACCAGCCTTCTTTTCTCTGTGCACATCATACATCACCACCAGCTCTCCATCCACCGCAGTCTCAGAGCACTTGGAGCATTTTCTTTGCTGTGCTACTGTGGGCCTGAAGGAGATATGCGCCTGGAAAGGACAGTGATGTCAGAGCCAGGGCTGTGCTCCCTCCCTCTCCAGAGGAGGCTCAACACTGCACCTGCTCATGCACACAGGGGAAGAGGTGTTGCCCAATGGCTCTGCTGCATCCAGTCAACACCAGTAGACCTATTACTGATGGAAGGAACGGGGCCAGGGCTTTGGAGGGCAGTGTCTCGATGTCTGCCAGAGTGTGGTGCTGTTTGTCAGGTTTTGGGCCTTTAAAAAAAAAAATTCAAAGCATTTTCTCCAACCACCATGGAAGGGGTTGTTACTAGCTCTGGGAAACATTTATAAAAGGTTCTTAGAGGAGTTTGACCTCTTCATTGTTGGTTATCATTGGCAATGAAGGCAGAGAGAATTAAGCTGAATATTTCTTGTGGTGATTAATGAAAATCTTCCATATATTATGTGAAAGCTGTTTTTAGCTACTGGTCAAGCAGATGCCTCAGGGAGAAATGAGGCTCCAAAAGGGACAGTCTCTTGTCAGCATAGAGTGACAATTGGGAGTATTGTTTTGCACATCCTGTGAAAAACCCTGGACTCTGTGCAGGGATCACTGTCCCTTCATCCAATGTCCTCAGCTCAACGCTGGACCTCTTTCTATTCTCCAGAGCACAGGAGGAGGACAGAACCCAGGAGCTAGTGGCCATTTACACACTTGGCAACATGCAATGCTTATGGTACCTTCTGGTGTCCTTTAGATATGACTGGAACACCATCGAAATGACCTTCAAATGTGTCGGGAACATGAACAAATCTTATTCCCTGAGGTTCAATAATCCACACGTCTACCTAGAGATGGGAGAGAAAAGTACTCAAAGAATTAAGTCTTTTAAGGCATTGTTAGTAGGAAGTAAATTTACTAATAAGTCCTCTGATGCTTTTCCCATCTTTGAGTTTCCCTGGTTCCATGATCACTTCCACGAGTTCTTCAAATTCCCTGGGAGGTGACTCAACTCACCATGGAGGCTTACCCCCTTCTTGGCAACTCAGTATTCTCTTTCTATTGCCTCATTCCCCTAGGATTTCATTCCCCTTTTTCATTCTATCCTACTCTTATTTATCAGCAGAGCATTCATGTTGTTAGGGGAAAAAAGAAGAGGGAAAGCTATTACTGGGTTGTTCTGCATTTGCTCTGTAGCTCCATCAAAAACAGATTGTTTTCTTCATATCTGGGCATTTTTATTCCTTCTCTGTCCCTTTGCTTTGAACAAAGCTCAACAGAGGAAAATCTTTTTTGGTGACTCTTGACAAATCATAGTCATAGCTGCCGTTTCTTGAATGCTCATTATACTCTAGGTATAGTGCTGAGCGTTTCACATGTATTAATTCATTTCACTCACAAATATTACTATTATTTGTTATTGTTATTATTTGTTATTTTTTATTGTACATGAAAAAACAGAGACTTGTGGCATCAACACCACGAATAGTGGTGACAAAGAGAAACTTGAAATCGGAGACAGGGCCCGTGAAAGGAGGGTGTCACTTTTCACCTACAAATCCCCGCTCACCTCCAGGTGTCTGGCCAGCCGTCCGGGCTGCAGGTGAAGTCTGTGTTCGTAGGATCCCAGCTTCCTCCACTTCGCCTCCTGGTAATGAAGCTCGAACTGCACCTTTGCCCCAGGGAGGATGTTCACTTCGGTTTGGAAGTTCTCCATATCAAGAGCACTGCTCCTAAAGGGGAGAGGCCCCAGCATCGGTCATTACATGCACCATAGAGGCACACAACCCAGAATCTGAGCAGGGGGCGTGTAGACTTTCCAGGGTGACCTGACCGGCTCAGTTCATGAAAACGAACAGTAGAGGCAATAGAATTAAGTGCAACTTCTAGAAAACTTAATCCCACCAAGAGCTTCACTCTCCTCTCCTGCCTGATCTTTTGCTTCTGGAGCTTCTTACTGATTTGAGTGTCATCTGCTCAAAGCTACCAGTGATTGGTCCCTATTCTGTGCCAGGCATTTAACATACATCATCCCTGATATAGTAGCTCTGCAAGATGCATGTCATTACTCTCATTTTCCAGATGATAACAAGTGAGACTCAAGAAGATAAGGGACCTGCTCAGGACCCCATGGCTAATCAATGGTAGGACCAGGACTTAAGCCCCAGTTCAGATGACCCCAAAGACCGCACACATTCCCTATACTGTATTTGAGACTCATTCTAGGATTCTTTACATTTTTGAAGGTCTTCAGAAAGAAGAAATCTATTATTTCATCAAACTGAGTACATATTTCCAGCATAAGGCCTTATTTAGTCACTATACATATCAAGTACAATGTGATCACTGAACTTGAGGTGTTTATGGTTTTGAAGAGAAAATAGTGGAATTATCCAAAGAGGGTGATTTCAGCTTAAGATAAATAATGACTGACTTTTTAAAATGAAATAACTAAGTAAGCAAGGTGGGATTGTGCCTTATCAGCCCATTTGGGATCAGGGAAGTATTGCGAGCTGCAGTTTGGGATACTGAGTAGATGAAGAAAGAGATGCACATGTCTTGGTGCAAAGCTCAGAGCAGCGCATGCACGAGGGCCATGTTTATCTGAGGGGTGAGTGGAACTTGAGGTCTTTGCTCTGCTCTATCTCCAGGAGAGTTTCTGTTACAAATAAATATTTGTGGAGTGAATAAATGAATGGATGATGTGGTCAAAACGATGGGTAAAGAAGGAGAAATGATTCATAAAGATAAAACACCTGGAGGAGTTTACTCTGCTTGGAATTTCTTCTCTCCTTTCTCCACCTGGCTAAATTCTGTAAATTAATCTACTAGGGCTCAGCTCAAACATCAGTCCTCTGTGAAAATTTCCTGGACCTCAGGACAGAGTTACACGCATGGCACTCAGAACTCCTGGAGCATCTTGCACCCTCTCTATATTAGCTCTTGCCCCACTATGGATGTCATACTCACTGGTCTCTGTCTTTCTCCTCCGTGAGCCTGACCGTTTGTTTCTGTGCTTCTGCCGTCTCTAACAGAATAGGGTACAGAGTTGACATGTGATGCATTTTTGTTGAATGAACAAATGCATACATGAAATGAAAAGAATGTCAACTAAAGGTAACTTTCGGGATGTAGAGACAGAAGAGATGAGGAAAAAAACATGGCAAGATTTTGCAGAAGATTAGGTCTGCAGTGTAAGGAGTGAGACGTTGAAAATGTCTTTGAAGTGTCTTGCTTGAGAGGTTGCTTTTGTGAGGGTGGTTTGGCATTCCCAGTGTCTTATTTAAGATTATAAGAGGAAAAAAAATCTTAGATAAGGAAGGCCCTATCCCGTAAAAATAAGGTAGAATAAATCATTAAAATGAATTCTAAACTTTTTCCTCTCTCCCTATACTGTTTTGTAACAAGAGCCCCAATATTTCTGTAGTTCCTCTCCATGTTCTTTAGAAAAATCAGTGTTTATTTATAGAACATCCATCTTCCTGCAAGACAAGCAATATGAGTACAACTTATGTGACATCTCCCAAAATCCAGTGGTTGAACAGAGGCGTTTAGGGAAACAGAAACTGTGACACTTAATTCTGACTACGTTGCCATGTGCTTAGGTTCCGTGCCTTTCTGGAGGCTGGGTTGGGGGATAGGATGTGGGGGAAGCAGCAATCGAGAGGAGAGGGCAGCTCGGTTCATTCAGTCCTTACCTCACCAATCCAGCCAGCTTGTCTTTGGCTCTTGCCTGTGCATAGAGAGCTCGGGCCACAGTTTTCTCCTTGATGGAACTAGTAAATGTAGTGCCATCTACAGTCCTAGAAAATGACAGAAGGCAGCCAGTTGGCTGGAATAGTAGTGTTAACAAAACACACACACACACACACACACACACACACACACACACACACACACCAAGCAAACAACCTGGCAAGGTTGATTTATTGAATGGGGGTGATGGCCATCCTGCATCTATGAGAAACAAGAAGGGAGACATGTGAATAATTCAAAGATTTATTTGACAGTGTGGTTTGAGAGG